AAAAATACATACAAATAAAAATTTGCTATTCATTTTAATGAACGTTAAATAGCATTTTGTAAGTATTATAAAATTGACTTGTGGATTGTTAAGAGATAAATGCCATGAAATTAGTACACTTAATTCATTTTATTTGCAATTTATTATTTATTATGACTACTAAATTTTTTTATCTATTTCGAAATCTGACGTCGATGCGTAAAAAATATTGGTACTGGTACTAACAAAAGAGGAATATTGCCATTCAAAAATCAATGTTGCCGTCATATCACTATTAGTGATTAGTAAATATACTTTTGTTTTTTCAATAAAACTAGAAATTTGGGGTTTCTTCCAATACTATATAAAAATACAAGTAGAAGAATATTACTGAAAATAGTGATTCCACCAAAGTTTTAATTAATATTTTTGTAATTTTTGGTGGATAAACTCAATCCATCCGCCAAAAATGTATCTATTACAAAGTTTATTATAGAAACAGAGTAACTTAAAAAAAATGAATTTTAATGATTTGAGGTTCATCGTGCTTTTTAAAAAATACTGTCAAATTGAAATTTATAGTTCATGTTAGTTTTAAAGGTTGAATTCATGTATACATGTTACCAGGACATTTCACTGGTATAGTTAGTTATCTCAAAGGTGATCAAAAATGTATTCTCCAATTCAAATAAAACGGCATTAGTGAACTTTTAAAATTTTAATGGAAACAAAGAAAAACAATTGTCAAATTTTGGCTGAAAATTATACATTCTATATAGTGTGCCTACTTAAGTTGGAGACATATGTAAACAAATATTTTTATTTTAAGGAAAAAGTTATTTTTCATAAAAATTTCGGAATGTTCTAAAACCTAAAATGAAACTTAATTTTTTTTAGTTATATACGGAGCTTGTTAATATATGAATTTAAAACAAGAATAAAGTTCTTTTATTTTAGATAGTATCGAACACTGTAATCATGAAAAGTTGTTAAAAATTAAAAAATGCGTTCAAATATGTAACCACATATATTTAAATAATAACACGATTTTTTTACTTTATATAGACAACAGTTTTTAAAATGTAGTTTTTTAAAAATTATGTTTAAATGCCAACATTAAGAAAAGAAGATAAAATTAAAATTGTACTAATTTGGTTGAGAAACATAAATAATTTCGAGAAGCTGTAGACATTTTTATTAGTCAGCTTCAGCATATTTGAACGCTTTCATTTAAAATTTGAACAAGATTTTATATTTAAAATTTTCTATATTGTCAAAAATAAAAGTACCCTGCTCTTGTGGAAAATTCTTTTCCTACGACCACGTAGGAAAGTGACACATATCACACTATAAAGTCCTATGGAAAGTGCCCTATATCACACGCGTATGAATAAGAATTTACTTTCCACCCGAGTGAGAATATGTTACTTTCCGCAGTAGTTGTTACAAAATGTCAAACACCTAATTTCTATTTTGATCTATGTAATGTCCATATTAATACTAAAATCGATATGATTGTTAATTTATTGAAATTGTTGTAAATTAGATCCTAGATATTTATCTTTAACAATTATTATTAAAATAATTTTAAAATAACTAAGATTGTTTGCTTTTTATTCTGGTTAAACATATAACCGATTAGATCACTCAATTGACGAAAGGCCTGTTAGCTCAGTTGGTTAGAGCATCAAACTATCAAATTTGCCATTTGAGAGACCTGGCGAACGACCGCGTTCGAATCCTGGCGGGGCCAGAAATTTTTTTTTTTTATTTTTTTTTTTATTTTTGTTTTTTTTTTGTTTAAAAAATATGAAAATTGAATAAATACGATTGTTGTTGATTATTTTTTTAAATACATTTTAATTATTATAATAACCTGGTTTTACATTTTTTGATGAAAATATTTTGTGGTCGTAGGAAAAATATTGTACATCACTTGTGTGAAAAGTGAATTTCCACACTCGTGTGATAGTCGCACTCGGCTTGTGCCTCGTGCGACAATATTTCCCACTCGTGTGAAAAATGTCACTTTCCACACTCGTAATGTAATATACTATATTTATTTTAAAGTCCGCATATCGCTGCAATTTTATGATTATATTGTTTAATCTTAATTAATCGATTTAGAACTTTTTTCCACAAACTAAAAATTAAAAAAAAATCTACTTAAATAAATACACTGTATATTAAATAAAAAAACATCGTCTTCAGTCATTTTTATTTTGTTGACTAATATCGCCTACTACTACCCAGCTAGCACCGACACGTGATTTTCACGTGAAATACACGGCACATTTTACGTCGAAATCACCAATTTATGACGTGCTAGTGACGTGATTATGACGGCAATATGTCACAGATCAAAGACGTCATACAGTGACGTGATAAACACGTCACCAGATAACGTGTTTAGACGTCAAAAAAACACCATAATATTCATTTAAAAATGTTTAATTTGTAAAAAAATTTTTATAAAAAACGTTTTATTTAAAAAATGTTTAACAAAAATATGTTTTATATAAAAAAAGATAGGTTACTGCATAAAATTTCTGAATTGAAACATAGTATACTAACCTGAACTATTACTAAATAAACATTACTTCTTAGAATATGTACTTAGAATGTATAAATTACAAAAGATTATATAGCAGTGTCCAGATATTCAACAAATCATTCCGAATATACAGGCTTGAAGCAGCTTCAATGGTATCCTTATTAAATTTTCGTTTCACTAAAACAAAAATATAATAGTTATAACTACCAGAAACTTAATTATTTAAATAAAATTTGAGCCAAAAAATAGAGTTAGCATTGACCGAGAAAGACAAAAATTGTTTTATATCATTAAGCTGTCACAAAAGTGATATATTTGATGGTTCACAAATTTAACAAGATAAATAAAATCAGATCTGTCAAGAGAAATGAATGAAAAAATTTAATATGCGCCTGGCTAAAGAGTACTAGATGCTCCTAGCTAACACAAAATTTAGTATTTCTTCATGGGTCAAAAACCTAATATTTTAATAATAATTTTATGATGCTAAGTTTTAAAGTGATGTAAAATTGTGAATTTTAAACCAGGTTAACCTGACTTTTTTATAATTAATGAAATGAAGAAATGTTATTATTTTTACAAGGTATAAATTAATAAGAGGAAAAATTATTTTACCCCCAAGCTCTTTTGAATGTAAAGGTGAGATTTTTAATAATTGTGAAAAATAATTATTGACATTTGAAGAAAAAAATGTTGTTCGGAATAAAAGAAATGTACTTATAACATTGTCACAAAAGTATGAATTTTACTCATAATAAAAAATAAGTTTTGCTAGACAAAGCAGTGCTTACCTACCAATAGGTTCGTCATCAATAACGAATTCATCAGCTTCACTTGAAAATATTCTTCTTAATGGCTTTCTTTTACAAGGAAGAGGTTGTAACTCATCATCACTTGTTATATCCTATGTCATAAGAACCTTTGTTGCTTTTTGGCTAGCTATTTGGTAATTCTCTAAAACAGATTAATAATTTTATACACTATACTTTTTTAAATAAATAAAACGGCTCACAGAGATGGTTTACGAAATACTATCACTATAATAGGTCTCAGTTACCAACAAAAATTCAAAAAATATAATATCAAGGTATATAATGCAAAATAATTTCATAAAACAATGTAATTAAAACCACAGTACATAAAGGGAAAGGTTTTAGTAATAATACATAGACCAGTGTTTTAATTGTCTAAAGCTGAGTTTAGTCAGCCTGATTTAGTTTCAACATAAAAGTTATCAATTTATTTCAATGTGCCTGTTTATACAGAATAACATAGGCATCAACATTAACATAGTAAAGATAAAAAAAAATCAACTTTATGCTCAAATCTTAGGAATGTGTATGTTTAAATTATCTTTATGGACGGTTTTGTTTTAAAATCCTTAAATTTTTGTTTTTATTAATGTCTACGTTAATAGTTAAAACAAAATTAGGCTAGCTACAGGCACCTTTACAATATAAAAAATCACTCACCTTCGGTAAAATATGTTCTATAAATAGGAAAGAGTCCAATTTTTTCCTTTTTTAAGCTCTTGTTAAAAGATTATTGTTGTTTATAAGAACCTCATTTCCCAGGATGTCGGCCACTTAGAACTTAAAGTGGTTTAATAATACTCCGGTGCTGTGCTTGTCGGCGTATTAAATTCCTATAAACATACTAAAAATAAACAATAATATCGCACTAAACTTCCTAACTACTTACCTTCAAAACACATACAAAATCATACAATAAAAGAATGTTCCAAACACAAGTTACAAAAATAACACAAAATGGCGTGAACCGCTAACCTTGGACAATGACATGACAGCTGATATTTCTAAACAGTGTTGACATAAAATTTCATTTAAAAATGAAAATTCCCAAAAATCCCTAGATTTAAAATGAGAATCATAAATTTATTATAAACACTAAAGATACTTTTATTAATAAATAGAATGTAAAATAATAAAGGTATAGAATCGACGTGTACACGTGCGCAGTTTAACGCCTCATTTCAGAACGTGACAAACTAGTCCCTAAATAACGTCATAGTACGTCTTATTTTGGTGTCATAATGACCGCAAAATAAACGATGTTGTATAAATTACCTTCTATTTATCTAATAATGAATAACAAAAACTCGAATTGCATTTATGACATAAATAGGTGTATTTTGTTCGCAACAACTGTGTTTACGTGTCAAATTGGTCCGAAAATGACGTCATTATTACGTTACTTTTGCGTCAAAAAATCACATCGACGTATTTGACCAAAATTCAACGTGATTATGACGTGAAACGACGTCCGGTGCTAGCTGGGTATTCTATATTTTGTAAAAAAAGTTTGTAGAAAAGATAATTTTCTGAACTGATTTATAAAAAATAGGAGATACATATTTGAGCAGTGATTCCTTTATCAATCTTGACAGTTATTACTTTTATGCATATTTTTATGTATATTTGTGGTATTGATTTTAAATATGTTACAGATTCGTGAAAGTCAATCTCAGGATTTAAAAAACAACTTAACCTCCCCAGTGGCACGCTTTACTGTAACAGGACTAGAACCGGGGGCATTATATCACGCAGTTCTGTTTTCGTTTAACGGAAAAGGTCGAAGCGAACCAGCCGTCATCCAAGCTGCCACTTTGCGTTTACCAGAAAAACAACTCACAGCAGAAAAAGGTTAGTCAAAATACTTATAATCATGGCTTTTCGCAATCTGTTAAAAGTTTTGAAAAACAAATATTTTTTTTTTATTTTATTTTATTTTATTTAGACATATCGATCTTTAGAGTCATTTAGGTTAAAACGTTATAAAAAAAGGTTAAATTAGATTATGGGTAGTAACAGATTATAAACAATTTTTCATACTCATATTTACGTCGCTTAACGTACATTGTATATTTATCTCACGCAGACGAAGATATGGGCTTAGTATGCATCAATTCATTTCTCATGTATACCTATGTTAAGTATTTAAAGATTTGAGAACGAGTCTAAAACGGCGACTGGTCGGAGCTAGTACATTAAATTGCTGTCTATAAATCTCGACAGTTATTCTCGTCATAGTCTAGCGATAAGAATATTTGTGTACAGAACATAGATGTATGGGATTTTTGAAATTTATTTCCGAATTTTCAAAATTATTCTACAACATATTTCAGATAATTCTAACCTTTCGAATTTCAATTTGCGATCTACGAGATATTTAATTCACAATTTTTTAAAAGATTCTGTTTATTAATGTTCTAAATGTCCTAACCATCCTGGGTTTTGTTTGTTACCTATGTTAGGAATTTTCATGGTTTAAAGATTTTAGTTTCAGGTAGAAATTTTGTTACCATGGATTTTTTTGTTCAATTTTTATTATTTCTAATATTTTAGATTCAGAATTTTGTTACCAAAGAATTTTCGGATTAATTTTTGAATATCTTACTAAGAATTACAGTGTTTAACTTTACTATAATAAAAACTAAGATAAAATTTTAATTTTTGCAAAAAACTGTTGAGTATTTTTATCTTAAAAGCAAGACCGCGTCTGCCACGTTGTGGGCATGCAGGCCATTTTTTATTCAGCATTTTGTCACCAAAGAATTTCCGGTTTAATTTTTGAATTTGTTACTAAGAATTACAGTGTTTAACTTTACTATAATAAAAAATAAGATAAAAATATAATTTTTCAAAAAATTGTTAAGTATTTTTATCAGAAAAGCAAGACCCCGTCTGCCACATTGTGGGCATGCAGGCTATTTTTTGTTATTGAATGCCCTCAACGCGTCTCCCGCGTTTTATTTCTTTTAACAGTTTCACCAAATTCGTTTATAAATGAAAACCTATTTTCATCCAAAAAGTAAATTAAGTAAAACTTCATCTGTTTTCTTGAAAAACCGACTCCAAAATTGTGCAAATGCCGTTTCAAATAGACTGCTGATTTTTTCATAGATCCTATATAACAAGATCTTTATAAAATTTATATGGGACTAACCCTGAGGTACCTCCTTTCTAATAGAAAGAGAATCATATAAATCGGACAAGGTGGTAAAGAATTATCGCTGAACAAATATAAAAAATAAAGTTTATTGATTTTATCATGAATTAAATTTTAGTTCTTGACCAAATTTATATGAAACTACCTCTGAAGTATCACCTTTCTAAAAAAAAAAAGAATTATTGACATCGGAAAACGTGACAACGTGACAACGTGACAACGTGATAACGTGGTAAAGAATTTTCGCTGAACATACATACCTAAAAAATATTTCGACGAATTAAGAACCTCCTCCTCTTTTTGAGGTTTGTTATAAAGTACGATGGGCACCACACATATAAAGGCTTAGAGAGAAAAGTATGAAAACTGGCAAAACTTGTGCATTGCGATTTTGTAATTAGTAGCACTTTTTGGAAAATACGAACAGTTTTACTAAGGTCATTCTAGCCTATAACACAATGTTCGACATACTTTTAAACTAGGGAAGTGAAGTAGTAGCTATTAGGTTAGATTGGGTTAGGTTGAAAATAAGTGGGATGATCTCATCGCCTTGCACTGCGACCCAGACGAGACTTTCAAAAAAGTTAGATTAAATAAACAATATCATCAAATTTAGTTTTAATCACAAATTTAAGGAAACATTTTATTATTAAAAAGTCAGTGCCCATTTTATCTAAATAAACTAAATAACTTTAAACAAAATGAAAAATCTATTGAACAGTTTGATAGGATGCTTGAAGAAATGTTTGTCAATCTTATAATGGCTCGAGCTGATGGGGACGAGAATGTAACGAAAGTAGTTAAATCAGTTAATGAAAAATTTGTAATAAATTCTTTCTGTAATGGTTTAGAAAATAGTGAACTAAGAACTATTATAAAAGCGCGAAATATATATTCATCGTTGGCCGAAGCTATTTAAGGACCCAAAGATGAAATGTAACCGAACTGAAGGAAGTTTTTCTTTTCAGAAAAGACGAGGTAATAATAATAACACACATCATAATTTTGGATCAAGGCCTAAACAAATCATAAAAGAACAGTCTAATTTTCGATCTTTTCAGAATTATTTTAAAAATAATAAGTAAGTATAATAATAGAAAGGAATATTTAAATAGAGGAAAATTTAATAAATCAGGATATAGAAATAGAAATACAAGAATAAATTATATTAGTAACAGTACCGATACAAATAACTATGCTAATAACAGTAGTGGCACAGATAATTTTAAGAATGGTAACTATCAACGTCCAATAATTGGTTTTGTCCAGATCAATGAGAAAACAAATGTTTTAAATATTAATTCATTAAATGTTATATATGTGACTTATAGAAATACTGCTTTAAAAATGTTACTTGATACTGGAATATCAGTTACTATTACCTATATTTATATATTACATTTAAATAGCGAAGAAAAAAACGCTTTGTAAAACATTGGTTCAGTGTATTCAGATGTTTTTTTATTAGATAGCGATCCATTGTCAGTAACAAACATTTATAAACAAAAAATTCACTTGAAAAAATCAGTTGAATCAGTTTTTGTAAAACAGTATCGACTACCACATGCGCAAAAAAGAAATTGATAATCTTCAGCCATACTCAACCTTTTTTTTTTTCGGGCTATATTCGTATGTTTGCTATGTTTGCAATATTTTTGGCAGATGATCCGTTTTTAAACTAGAGTATACATTTAAAATTAGTTAGTGGGGACCTATAATAAATAAAACACAAAACATAAATATATCCCGTCAGTAAGATAACTCACACTTTTGGAGTTTTCAGAAAACCCTGTAAAAATTAAGTTAAAATTAAATAAAAAAAGCAGTAGAAGCTAAAAACTGTTTAATAAACAATAACTCTAGTGAAAAAACGTATTCACATCGATTGGTAAGAAAAACAAAAGAAAAAAGGAAAAAACGCCACTAAGCTTATTTTGGCTATCTACATACAGATCATAATATTCAATGTATGTGTCACTATCTTCAATGGAAGATTAAAGTACCGTGTCTTTAGTATTATTGGATACAGGTAGATTGTGATAATAATGGTGAAATTCTTCAGATGTAGCACCTGATTTGCAAAGTTTTAGTAAATCTTGCACTTTTTTGTAAGTATTTTCAGAGCTATATCTTTCACCCTTTCAGGCATCCGTTTATTGGCTTTTGAAGGTTAGCTGTATCTCAAAAAAAGGGTGACATAATCACCTTATTGATTTTGGAACAATCGAGAAAGAATAGAGACTGCTCTAGATGAAACAAATTACTTGGGCAAAATGTTGAAGTATTTCAACAAATACATTCAAGAAAAATAAGTGTTCTGGCTTTTATCTTGTTTTGGCATAAACACTATTAGAAATCGAACTAAATAAATTTAACAAAGATAAGTTATATGTCTGTTATCTGGTTTTGGTAGACACACAGTGTTGCCAGCCCTATTACGTTCGTAATAGATCTATTACTATTTAGGACGATCTATTACGCTATTACGTTTTTTTCAATTTTCATGAAAATCTATTACTTTTGTTCAATATTGCAATTAATAGTCTATATTCTCTGCTACAATACAATCAACAGGTAGTAAGAAAGATTTTTTTCAATGTTCAATACTCAGTTGGAGTATCCTTCTTCTATGGTTAGAGTATTCCGTTTGTTGTTGCAAATTTGTTCTGTGCGATTATGTGCATGTGACGTTAATGTCAAAATTGTCAAATGGTTAAATGTCTCTTGGTAAAAAGTTAAACAAGACGAGATTTGTTTGGTTTAAAAATTTTAAATATTTTTTAAGTTGAATTTTTCTTCAATATCATCTGTTATTTGTGGAAAAGTGGAATAATGAACAGGTAATGCAATAATTTGAATGTTATTAAATAAATATTAACTTTGATTATGCATTTTAGATTTCTGCAGAAGCAAAATATAGAAGGTACAGATGGTACAGAGGAACCTATATCGGAGTTATCGGATTTATCGGATTCTGCAGAAGATGACAAGGCTGGATCCAGTAGTAATAATGCCCAGTATGTAAAATCTAAAAAACTTACAAACAAAAATATCGAAAGGGTTATGGAACACAGTTTAATTGGCTAATTTCAACCCAAAACAAAGAACTATTTTGCAATGCTTGCAATATTATTATTAATGGTGGTATTACTCATGTCAAAAGACATAGTAATACATTAAAACATAAAAAAAAATTAAAGGCTTCTAGTAGAACACCTAAAATAATAGACATTTTTGAAAATTCTGAGTCTGCCAAATTATCGACAAAAGTTAGGGAAGCTGACATTCTAATGGTGTTACTAATTGCAGAACACAACCTACCGTTTTCTTTTTTGGACCATTTGGGAAAAATTGTTAAGACAGCTTTTCCTGACTCGCAGATTGCCAAAATGATGCAAATTGGAAGAACTAAAGGTACATTATTATGTAAACAAATTCTTTCTAATGAACAAAAAAACTATTGTACAAAATATAGTAAGGGATTCTTTCTTCTCTTTAAAGATGAGACTACAGATGTAAGCATAAAAGCTAGTCTTGCAATAGTTATAAGATATTTTGACTCCGATTGTAAAAAAGTGAGGGAATGCTTTTTAGGGTTAATTGGAGTTGAAAATAAAAGTGCTGAGGGAATTTTTAATTAAATTATAACATTTTTAAATTCAAATAAAATTAATATAAAAAACCTTGTGGGTTT